TGGCCTGTTACCCCTTGTGACGCGTTGCTGAGGCGAACAAAGTAAAGCTCCCAGGCGGATAATTAATGAGATAAACACAGAGACACAGTCAGTAACAAACCCTTTGAAAAAAGCAATTCGTGCCCCCCGAGCCCCTGGCTGGCCATTCCAAACGCACCACGCGCAGAGGCCAGGCCCACACTCCATAACGGCACAGTAGGTGATCTCAGAGGGGAACCACGCGCGGGTCCGGGTCATCTCCTCGGGAAGCTGCTGGCCCGTGCCAGGCGAAGGGAAGACTGAGATTCCCTCACGCAGCTGGGTGTGCGTCAGCAACTACGTCGCACGTGGCTCCTTGCTGCTAATCCCTGGACAGCTGAAACCCACCCTGGCTCCATGTGCTGACCCCTGTGCAGCTGAGAATGGAGGAGGCATGACCAGAAAAGGCTGCAGCAAGACGCTCCAGCCTGGGGTTGCTCCAGCTGGAGGCACCTGCTGTAACCTCAGAACCATCCCCAGAGACAGACGCAGTCACGGCGGTCGGTCAGGGCGGTGTCACTACAAAATACACTGGCCCAAGGGGTGGCACTGCCAGGACAGCATCAGGGCAGCCTCAGAAACAGAGGAGTGTAGTCAGATCCCACTGGAGCTGCAGGGACTGGCTCAGACCAGGGTCCTGCTCCAGGGATCTCCTCCTCATGCCCAAAAAGGAGGTCTGCGACAGCAACAAAACCAGAGCCACTGCACAGCTGAGATGCCCTAGGATGTTACCGCAGCCAGCCTTCCTCCGCTGTCCACACGGCACAGCCACCCAGCATCTGCTGGGAAACTAAGAGCACAAAAATCCTTTGTACCAATACGGTAAAACACAATTTGGGCTCAGTTCTGGTTCTGCCCAGCCCAACACCCCACCTCACCACACTCCCCGGGATGCTGACTCCCTGCATTTGATCTCTTCCCTCTATTGAGATGCTGGAAAAGCATCCAGTGGCTCGCATTTTTCTCTAAAGCATTTTTCTCAAGGGGATATTTCACCCACCTGAGGCTTGTTGAATTCCACCTACCCAAAATTTTGCCTTCCAGGTGAACACAGAAACCCACTATTAAGAGATCTGTGAACTGCCCAGAATCTGATGTTGAGAGCAAGGAGTTAAACCTCTGTACAAAAAAAAAAAAAAAAAAAAAAGGCAGGAAAAACACATTGGCAAAAATCTTTCAGAACAGCCAGAGGGAAGCTTTTCAGTTCAGCGTCAAACCCATTTCACTGCGCTCAGTGCAAGGTGTCATCAGCCTTCACAGTCTGGAGAAAACATATGAGAGGGTATAGGAAGGGATGACACCAGAGGCCCAGCTCCTGGTGCACTTCAGTATCTGCATGACAGAAAGGCTGGCCAAGCGTGCAAAGCAGGGTGCAGACCACCCTGCCGACCACGCCAGCCCTCGCCCAGCCCAGGCTACGTGCACCCACCTCTGCTCCACCTACAACCCTGCAGCCATTGTCAAAGCTTCTCCCGGTGTCAGCGACACCAGCACGGAATAGCTCTCTGGCCGTCGGTGGTCTCGCCGGATCGCTGTTGCATTAGGGCTAGCTTCTCCCAGAAAAACCCAACTCCGCTGGTAGAATTAAAGGTTCTAAGTGTACTGCAAGGTCAGAATGGGGCCCAGCGCCGTTGTATCAACTGGAAAACCCAGCCCACAGTCACCTCATTCAAGAGGTCACCTTGCTCCAGGCCTTAAAAGGAGCATCCTGTGTATATCAAAGTCATGTTACAATAAATTGTGTCCTACAGACAGATTCTAGTAGAAGCCCATTGTATTTACCATTCTGTGTAACTGAAAAAGCAGTATCTTTTATTAACACCTACGAAGCTTTCGAACATCGCCACTATTTTTCCCCCTCATTATGAAAGGGTTTTCTCTCTGCTCCCCGAGTGCCTTTCTATTAAGCCCACACAAAGCTTTGGTGGCCCCCTGCCACACATACACACTTCCACCACGAGGTCTCAGAGAAGTTGCAATTTAATCTCATTAAATACTGGGTAGGAGTAAAAGAATCTTTTGAAGATGGAAATTACCCACCATCAAATAACCCAGCAACAACTGCTGAGGAAATTAACCTTTAGGTACAGGTTGCTTCTGCCGAGTGACTAGTTAATGAGAGTCCCCACCCGAGATGAAATACACAGCAAACGGACTGGAAAGGCACGTCAGATCTTCCCCTCCGTCCGTGCATCGCTATTATTTCCTCTCCTTTCTGCTCTGCCCAAGGAGAGCTGTATTGTGGCAAACAAAAGGCAATGACACAGCAATGCCACAGCTGTAATCACACTTTTGAGCTGGGACTGGAACTGCAGGATGGAGAGTCAGAGTAAATTATGTGCCACACTACAGAAGCGGCGCAGAGCAGGAGAAGGCAAAAGCAGCTGTAATGAAAGCTCAGTGGCCTCCTGATCCCGGGACTTCGTGTAAATCAAAGCAGCACTGAGGGATGCTGATCTCCTTGGAGATCACACAAGAGGGACACTATTCTGGCTGGCTGCCTCCTGCCCCAGTATCCCTCCTCTTCCCCCACACCCAGGAAATGCACAAGGACAATATCTGGAGCTGATTTTCAGCTCTTCGGCAGCCTCGTACTGTTCCTTCAACCTCAATCCCTTCCACCGCCCAGAGACACTACTGCCCGCCAGCCATGACTGTGTGTATCAGCAAGTGATGAACTCTGCTCCCATCCCCCAGGAGGCTGATTTTGAAAGAGACAGGTTTGGGTCAAATCAGTAAGAGCATTGGGCCCAAAGCATACATGTTTTGGGGGTGACAGGCCACCGGGGTAAACCAGTACAGCTCTACTGACATGCAGGCTTTCTTGAGCATACCCATTGTGCTAGCAGCCTGTACAAAAGGCCAGATTTCCCAGGCCAGCATCCAGCTCCTACGGATCTGCAAGTCAACATAAGCCCACCATCCTCTGCGCCACAGGCTGTTGCACTTCCCACAGTTCCATCACCTTCACCACCCAGGCTCACGTGGTGGAGGATCCAAGCTTGGATACCTGGGAGACATGCAGATCCTGGGCTCAAACACAGGCAAGATTTGGGACACAAAACCTGCACTCTAGCCACCACCTGGCCCTTCCTGGGAGAAGGAGGAGCAGCATCCTCAGTCAATTCCAAGGAGAAGAGGAGAACTCGTTCAGGTGTCAGCCGAGTCAACCCCTCAGTTTTAAGACTGGCGCAGAAAGCGTCTGGGTCAGCGGACTCACACAGTGACTGCAACCACTGCCCTCCTGCAGTTTGGCTTCTTTGTTTTGGGGTTTATTTCTTCTTTCCTCCCATCTCCTCGTGAACTCGAATATCAGAAAAGTTGCACAAAGAAGTGCCAGCACCTTCCCTCT